AAATATATATATATATATATATATATATATATATATATATATATATATATATATATATATATATATATATTTATTTTGTAAAGCGAGATTTGCACTTACTTATATATTATAAATTTGTATCACGGATGGAACAACATGTCCAACAAATATCGTTAGGATAAGTTCTAAATCATAGCTCTGATATCATGTTAAAAAGTAAACTTTAAATCCAATTCAATCTCACAAAACCAGCTTGTAAAATGAAATTTGCACTCACTTCTATATTATAAATTGACCTTATTTCTAGTCGAGATGAGACATCTAACATATTTTATTCATAATTAAACATAAAAACATTCCTCATATACATGAAGTGAATTTTATCTAACAGTTGAACAGGAACATCTCCCTTTCATTCCTAAAAGCATCACATTTTCACATGATACATGTCACAAAATACAAATAACAAGACACTTAGGAACAAGTCACAACTTTAACTTTCATGTGTGTATGCCTAACACATGTATGCGTATTCGTCTATATATCCAACGAGATTCGATCTGGTCCTTGATTCTGAGTGGTGTGTTATAGTCAAAAGAGTTTATGGGGCATCGAGAAATAAAAAAATGGAAGATAGCTTTGGAGGCAGTTCCTCAAAGGACAAGTGCAGCATCAAGGAACAAGACCAGTTGTTGCCAATAGCCAATGTTGGTCGGCTCATGAAGCAGATTATGCCGCAGAATGCAAAGATCTCGAAGGAAGCAAAAGAGACAATGCAAGAATGTGTGTCGGAGTTCATAAGCTTTGTGACAAGTGAAGCATCGGAGAAAGACAATGAATGCTGATGACATTTGCTGGGTATTGGCTACGCTATAGGATTTGATGACTATGTTGCACCAATGAGAAGGTACTTGCACAGATATAGAGAGCTTGAGCTAGACCGTAATAATAGTAAGCTCAATCATCATGAAAGATAAGGATGAATTGTGCAAACTACGATAGAGATTCTCACCAATTCCTATGCTTACACAGCGAACCAGCAACATATCTAGACCAGTTTGAGGTTTTCCTCATATGAAATATGCAATAACTTTGTTGTCTTGCCTAGAACATAGACCTTTTTTCTTGTCTTTCATATATATATACATACTTCAGGTCTTTGTGGTTTCTTGCAAGTTGAGAAATTTCAGTTTATGAAGTTAACTTCTCCCTCCAAATCAGATACCAAATTCAACATTCTCCCTTGATTCAAGAATAGGAATATTCATCTTTCAAGAAATAAGCACCAGTTTGATCTGAGTTCGTCTTGGAAACTGGTTAACCTTTTCACTTTTGGCTGATTAATTTCCTGAATTTTCAGACATTTGTAAGTTATGTTTTTGTTTGATTTTAACTTTGTGGTTGATTATTTTGTGCTAATCTCAGTACAAGCCAGCATTGTCTTCGCCAAACACGCTAGCTCAAAGTTACTTTTTAGGGTTTCCTCACATAGCGAATATATTAATCAGTACATTCATTCGTGATTTAGACTAAGGTTAGGTTTAATTAACTCATAATTTTTAAAGTTGGGGTCTACCCACTTAATTATTATTATATTTATTAAAAGTATGTGGTATGTTAAATAACTGAAAACCACCTCTATAAACAAAAAAGAAAGAATAATAATATGAAGTTTATTCTGTTTAATTATATATATTTATATTATAATACGTTGTTGTTCTTTCTATTCAAATGTTGCATTGAGCGTACATGTGACAGGAAATCAAGGAACCATGAACCAACCAAAATGATTTTGTAGGTTGAAAATTTTATAATGAAGAGCATATAATATATAAATATTATTATTTTGGATAAAGGATAAAGAGGTATCCAATTAAAAGGAGCAAACATGAATTAACACTGTACTTACCCTTCCCTATATATGGCAACCAAGGTACACTTTGCCATGGCCAATCACAACTCACCAAGTGTCTACCACACAATTGGCTGCTTTAGAAAGTATGTAACATATTTAGCATCTTTCTATTTGGACTTACGTGTGTCAATGTGACTAGGTTAAGTGTGCCAATGTAACTAGGTTAAAAGGTAAAAATTAATAATAGTTAATTAATGTGAGCTTTCAAGAGAAGAAACCCTTGTATATTTGGTATTAGTGACTCTAAACAAACTTATATAATAGATTATAGTAACACTTGAATTTTCTCGAAAATATAGTATCAGAGATAGAAGATAGGTGGTATTCTATTCTCTATGACCCATCGAAGTTTTATAGGTTTGGACATTTCAAAGAACAAAACGTTATTTCAGCTAAGAGAAAGTTTGGAAGTGTTCCAAAAATTGTTAGATGGTTCAAAACACTAAAAATGTTTTTGGTATGCAGCTCCTTGTACTAATGTAAGGTTGGGATGAATTTAAGTTCATCAAAAAGCTAGAGTTTTAATTGGGTGTATGCATTGATGTCACATGCCATGCAATAGATTTGGTATGATACTATTTTAAATCATGAAAACAAAGTGGATGATGAGATTTCAAGGAAAAAAGATGCTATAGTTAAGTCAACTGACAAATGGAATGACTGACATTTAAGAAGATGTTATACATAATATTATGTTGTAATACATGATTTATTATGTATACATTGTCTTCGTATATATGCGAAGAAAGTTTCTTCATTTGCATCTTGATATATTTGAATATGTTGTTTTGTTTTTCCTTTTTTTTTTCAAGATTGTGTTTTTTTATATCCAAATACACTTTTTGATGTATCATGCTATAAAAGAAAATTACTCAAAAATTTTCTTTAAATAGATGAGTGTTATATCCAAATTTAGCATTTGTTTGATTTTTTTTATTGGGTGATTAAACAAAATAAGTGTTAAACATAATTTTAACTATAATTGAATAGATATAACCCAACAAACACATATTGTGTGACTAGATAGATGCAAGCCTTGTTTAAAATGTGGTTCATCGGACTAACGTAAGTATCATATATAAAAATCCTCTGATAAGTTGTTGTTTGAATAGACTCTAAGAGCATCTTACTCAAATTAGTTTTTGTTTGAAAATACAATAAGTATATTTTATTTGACGAGTCTATTAATACACATTAGATAAATATTTTAATTTACTAATTAGATTAATCTTGCAATATACATTAGACGAATTTGTTCATACATTGATCAAATGAATATAGCGAGAAACATTAGATGAGCCTAACAATATACATTAGATGAGTTTGTCCATATATTGATTATATGACTATAACAAAAGAATTAGATAAATAATTTCATACATTGATTATATGAGTATAAGAAGAACATTAGACGATTATGTTTATACACTGATCAAATGAGTCTTACCACACATATTAAACAAGTTTGTCTATTTGAGTTTAGAAATATACATTAGACGAGTTTGTTCATATACATATTAGATAAATTTATTAATACTCATTAGAATACTTTATTCATTTTTTTATTAAACGAGTCTTGCATTATACATTACACGATATATTGATTAGACAAGTAATACATATTAGATAAGTTTGCTTATATTCTAACTACACGAGTTTAAAACACATATTAAACGAGTTTGTCAATACATTGATTAAATTAGTCTAATAATACATATTAGATCAATCTTTTTATATACTGATTTGTATTTTTAGTTAGTCTACTTTACATACTTTTATAGAGTATACTGATTTTTGCACATGTTTTATCCTGTATATTTTTACAATGTCTACTATTTATATATTTATGAACATATTAACTTTCTAAACCTATAAATCATTTTTCAAGATAATTCTATTCAAAATTTGATTACAAATTTTAAATTTTTATTATTTCCTTTCTCAGCCTCTAAATCTCTTTTAATAAACACATAAGCAAACACTATGTGCGGTAGGCACAAATTTTAAAACTAGTTTTATTAAAAACATAAGAAAAATCAAGGTTATACTATACGTATCCGAAATTATCTCAACCTAATACATATAATTAGTACATCTCAACCTATGGTGGTATAGTGCATCTCGATATATAATGGTCTTATACATCTCAGTCTATGTTGGCCTAATATATCTCAACCTATTGTGGCCTGATATATCTCATCATATGTTGGTCTGATACATATTGACTTATGTTGATCTAATACATCTTTACCTATGGTGGTTCGATACATCTCAACCTATGTTGGCATAATACACCTCGACTTATGTTAGTTTGATACATCTCAGTCTATGGTGGCTTGATACATATGTCAACCTATGTTAGCTTGGTACATCTCAACCTATGTTGGCCTGGTATATATTAGCTTATGTTGGCCTAATACATCTCAGTCTATGATTGTCTAATACACCTCAGCCTATGTTGCCCTGGTACATCTCAGTCTATGTTGGTCGGTACATCTCAACTTATGTTGGCATGATACATCTCAACCTATGGTGGCCTGATATATCTCAACCTATATGTTGGCCTGGTACGTCTCAATCTATTGTGACCTGGTACATTTTAGCTTATGATGACATGATACATCTCAGCCTATGATGACCTGAAACATTTTAGCCTATAATGGCTTAAGATGGCTTGGAACATCCCGACCTATGATGGCCGAATACATCTTGACCTTTAACAACCTAAAATATCTCAACCTATAATGGCCTTGATGTTCTCAGCCTAAGTTGAGTTAGATCATTTTGGTTAATTGAAAATATGACTTAGGTAAAGAAGGATTAAATAGGTCGTTAATCAAAGTTAATTAAGATAATTATTTCCAAGTCCAACCCGGTAAAGGCTCATATAAATAACATTATTCTTGAGGTAATATTAGGAATATACTCATTATTACAATATTTATTACTATTTGACGAAGTTAGCTAACTTAAGCGTCTTCTGTAGGAACACTCCCTTTCCGTCTTGAAGGTACATAAACCTAGAATATCTCGGTTTGAAGGCTTGAAGTTGAAAACACACCCCATATCAATCTAAGACTACATTCGAATCCTAAAACATCTATGTTTGAAGAGCAAATAGTCTTTTGCTAAAAAGTTAAACAATTTTCATATGATGATTTTGCTATTGTAATAAGAAGGGTGGATTTTAAAATTAAAAAAGATGTAATTTTTATTTTATCTAAAACGTAAAAAAAATATTAAAATATTATTATTTAAAAAAAAAGATATAAGTACCATTTATTATAATCTCAAACTCCTTTATTCAATGAAATTCTACAAGATAGTTTACAACATAACAAGAGGTATTTATCATATAATTATAAAAATATAAACTTCGTTGAAATTATAAAACTATTTATCAGAATAATGGAACTAATTAATAAGTCAATAAATGTTTCAGGTGGCACAAATTAAAAAGAGTGACACCTACTCAATGTCCCAAACAAACTCACCAAGATCACACAAAAGAAACTAATTTTCTTTTTTTAATTACAAAATCATGAAATTGGTAAGTGGTCATGCACTAATTATCTTGAATGGCCTAATTTTATTTAGAAGTATTATAAAAACAATGCATATAACTTTTTATTCAATTAGTAATTTTTTATATGGTCAGTTTTTTATTCACTGAATTAAAGACTAACCCAATTTTTATTACAGTAAGTAGATATTAGTATAAGAAAAACTATTTTAAAAGTCTTATCTCCATTCAATTTCTTCTTATAGTAATTAGTGTACGTTTATTTGGGCTAATTTGATATTTTGTTGATCACTTAACAAGCTGGGCTTGCAGTCTTGGTCCAATAACAAAATCTGTTTCAATTTTATCTATTAAATAAATACATTTAATCACTAATTAATCATGTTTTTTTATAAAAATATTTAAATTTCTTCATTTTTGTGTTCAAATCCCTGTGTAATGATTTTATATAAAATATCTCATTTAAATTATAAAAACTTAAGAATACAGTTTTTATAATTTTGAACTGATAAAAGTTGAAGTTAAAAGTTACTCATAAG